TTTTATGATGTTTAAAAGTCAAATTAAAATTTTTCGAAAAAGTAGCACTTAGAGCTATTTTAAGATACAATGTTTTAACACATCTTGGGAACTTAGAAAATGTTGTTCCATTTGTTCTCAAATGTATATATATACACGTTCATAATTATTGATCGAATATTCATGGAGCATTAATACAAAACGTAAAAAAAATTGTGATGAATTTTTTATGCAAGATGATTATCATTATGCATGAACAAACTTTAAAGGGCAATTGCGGCTGAAATATCTAACCAAAACTAGATTTTTTTTAAAAAAAAAAAAGATTGAGCTTTCAATTTGTTATTTCAATTAAAACATTATGTCTCAACTCAATTAACAGACTTTGAATAATTGGACATTGGAAAGCAGATGAAAGCGTTTGCGACATTGCTGGTGCACTCAATCATTCTCAGTCACAAGTAACTTGTGCAATAAAAGCATTTAAGATCAAACTACTATTGCTCCCCCAAAAAATACAAATGAATTAATTTCTTATTTAATGGATGAATGGGTAAATCTTGATCATGATTATTTGCAACAATTAGTAGACAGCATTCCTTGAAGGGTCCAAGCTGTAATTGAATCAAAAGGAAGCCCAACAAAATATTGAATAAATGAATGAAATATTTATATTTTTTTGATACTTTTGATATAAATTTAATAAAGATTTATTATGTAAAATTATTATACAAACTGTTGATGAAATTTTTTTTCGTTATTTTTACGTTTTGTATTAATGCTCCATGAATATTCGATCAATAATTATGAACATGTATATATATACATTTGAGAACAAATGGAACAACATTTTCTAAGTTCCCAAGATGTGCTAAAACATTGTATCTTAAAATAGCTCTAAGTGCTACTTTTTCGAAAAATTTTAATTTGACTTTTAAACATCATAAAATTATCAATAACAATCGGCCAGATGTGATATTTTAGATTGTTATGGTAATCATTTCAACAAACATTTTCTCACTAATACACAACATCGATTTGCTTAGTAAAAAAAGCATAGTGGAAATTTGAAATGTTACACTAATTTTTTATATTGTGCAATGTAGCTTTACAATACACAGCAAACATTCTGGCAATAAAAAGTAAGTGATAAACTGGATTTGAATTGGATCTGAACTTGATCTCCAATTTAGAGAGGTAACAACTATATACTGGCGAAGTTTCAGAAGCAATGAGTTCTGTATAACGTTTCGTGTAACAACAAACTTCCACTATGCTAATAACAATAATATCTGGGTTGTACAAGCGCAAAACAATCTTTTTTTCTTCTCATTTTTTATTAAACAATAAGACTGTTTTATGGAGTCATCTAGTTGTAATGTATATTTTTCTTTAACATCTTTTATTTATTTATTTATTTATTATTGTTAATTATTATTATTATCATATTAAAGTGAATATGTTGATTTTTCTTATAAAAAGAATTCCAGTTATGATGATGATTAACATCAAAACTCTTAGATTGATGTGTCTTTCATTCACAACAAAAATATCCATTCACACTGTCTGCACTGGAAAAAAAAAATTTATCTCAATCAATAGTTTAATTTTTTTGCAAGAATTCACCAATGAGGAGAGGTTGATTTTTGTGAGAATATTTTTTATCATTATATTATTTGAGTTGTTGAGAATCTTCAATGATGGATAATTATTAGTGTCAAGTTGCAAAAAAATTTACTTTTCATGGAAAGGATCACTGGGAATTGGTAGCTATAAATAAAAGAAAGACAAAAATAAATAAATCAAATAATGAATGAACATAAAAAAAATTAAATCAACTATATTTCCTTTTTTACATTTTTTATATTATATTATATATTATTATTTTTGAATTATTATTAATATATATTTTTTTATTATTATTTAATATATATCATATTAAAAAAGAAATATTGAGCAAGGATAGTTAACAATGGTATAGAAGGATGAAATGAAATGGACCTGTAGGCTTTACGTTTCATTTCTGAATGAAGATTTGGTTCGGAATTAGGGTATTTCGACTAACAAATTAGCCTTAAATCCTAATTCTGGTAACAATAGTTAATAATGGAATTTTACTACATGCAAAAAAAAAATTTATTGAGTTGTAAATTTTGTTTTATTAAATATAGTTGTCTGATTTTTTCATTCATTGTTCATGTTTCCTCTTGATCGTATATCTTAAATTGGTCTCGTTTGACATTTGTTATATTAAGGTTATTTTGATTATATCAAGAGATATGGTCAAGAAAAGAGTTAGAAAGAGAGTTATTCTTCAACCAAGTTGAAAACCAACCCTTTAAATACATATTCGAGTGATACAATTTAATTTATTAGACTATTTCAAATGTTTGCTTCCAACTTCTTAAATTTGAACCATTTGTTAATGAAACAATTGTTTGTGAAGTGATTGTTGACAAAATGAATCAAACCCACATTAAATGTTTTATTTTTAAATTCACAATTTTAATTGGTCAATCAATCAACAATTGCGTGGGTTAAAATTTTGTGTTACCAGAATGGTCTCTCCTGTAATAACGTTGTATATATGGGGCATGGACAATAGAAACGACCCAAATGTCAAAAATCATGATTTTGAGTTAATAACATTCCTATATGTAATTCATTGCAAAGATTAATTTTAGCTTAGAAACCA